CCTATAAATATATGCACATACATCTATTTCCCCATCCTTATATATAAATATATTTACATATATACATGCCTGTATTTAGACCTCTATAAATGCCCTTAGCCTCCTAGTTCTTTTCTCTATTTCCTGTTACTTTCCTTTTGTCCCATTATCATGCTCAGCCTTCATTTGGGTTTCAGTAATTCCTCTTGGTTACATTGCCCTTGATCATGCCCTACCAGACCTCCTACACCCTCCTCACCACCGATTTGGATCACTTGTCCCAGGGTTTGTTAACACCTCTTCCTTTCCCCTACTTTCCCCTCTCCCATGTCACGCCGGAACCGTCAGTCCTGTTGTTTTCTCCTCCAGATTGTTTATCCAGCCTATCTTATCTAGAGAGACCTGGGGAAATAATAACATGCAGAAAAACAAGACAGAGCAAAACAAAGCAACAAAAGAAAACAACGACACCCCCCCACCACCACCACCAAAAAAAAAAATCCTATAAACAGTTCAAGGACTTTGTTGGCCTTTAGGAGTGTTTTCAAGTGGAGTCTGATGGGGTACCACGCCCTGGTCCCAAAGGAAAGAGGCATTTTTAACAGATCCTTTAGAGGGGTTTTGATTGGACTTAAGCCTGACTCTCTTTCATAATATGTGTCATAAAATACTTCTGGTTCAACTTGACATCCATAAAAGGATCCCAGGTATGCAGTAGTTAAAGCACTGACCAGTTTGTCAATCTGCCTGCATAAAGATCAAAACCAGCCTAGTTTGGTTCTTCAAATGGCCTGTGTTTCTGGTTTTAAAATCTGTACCTAAATAACTTGCTGCCATCATTTGATTCTGACGCTTAATGACTCAATAGGACAGAGTAGAACAGCTCCTGGGTTTCTGAGACGTAGCTCTTTACAGGATTACCAAGTCTCATATATGCTGTGCTTTAACTCAAACACCAGAGTGCCCATGAGAGACCAGGGACCAGAAACTTCCTGAACCTCGGGGAGGGGTGCTCCATCTCTGTCTGTGTTCTCTCCAGGGCCAGGCATCCAGAGTGGGGTAACACATTGGGTGTCCTCACTATCAGAAAGCCCTACAGCACAGATCACCGCGTGGGCTGCCCACTCCGCAAAGCCCTGGAATAGGGATGGGTGATTGAACTGGGAATTTTGAAGGTAAAGGGCCAAGGTGTGGCATTGCGTTCACTGCTCAAGGTCAGAGCTGATGCTGTAGGCCATTATTACTCCCCTTTTATGGTCTTCCCTTTCCTTGGCCCACGCCACCAATGTGGATCTGCTACCATAGCCACCTGGCAGAGTGAATGTGTCCTTCCAGCCCGTACACACCAGCATTGTCAGTTGAGTTTATTTTGAATGTAAAGCAAAGCAGCCAGTTCTCTTTAGCCCTGTAAATCAGGTACTGGCTGCACCAGCGTCAGATGTGCATCTTCACACTGTGCTTCTGACCTCACCCTTAGGCTATAACCTGTTCCTAGCCTCCTTTTATTTTCTTTCCCTGCTTTTCTGTTTGCTTTCTGTTCTTTTCTGATCTCCTTAACTGTTTATTTTATCTTGTATGTCTTTTGTAAGCAGCTTTAAAATCAAATCTCTGTTGGAAGTAAATGCAGATTATTGATCAAAGGTATTGCAAACAGAACAAAGGAAAGGGAAAGTAAAAAGTGGAAGAAATACATTGAGTACCATTTGATTTATAAGTGCTCTCGACCTTTAGTGAGGATGAAAACACTGTGACCATGTATGTAGAAGATTTCTATTAGTATTACAACAACAGCTCCTGGGTGATGCCACTCACTAGGCTGTTTGGGACCTCAGACTTGGACAGTTCTGCAACTACGGTACTCAGTAAATAATTTGCAGACTACATGGACCATGTATGCATTCCTTGGGTTTATTTTCTTCTTGGATTTCTGGAACACTCTGAAGTAACTTTCCAGCCAGGCTTCAATGAGCATCCCATCTTTGTGTAGTGGCTCATCCATATTACAGGTCTCTCTTCCCTGGTGGGTTACCTGCTGGGCTGTTAGCCAGCTCCTCCATTAGAGAACGATGAGGCTTTCTACTCCCATAGAGTGAGTCTCGGAAACCCGTAGGAACAGTTCTGTGCTGTCCCATATGGTCGCTCTGAGTTTGTTTGTTTGTGTTTGTTTGTTTGTTTGTGTATGCCATTTGGAGCCCAGGTAACGTAGTGGGTTACACTGTGAGCCACTAACCCATTTAGAAACCACCAAGCACTTCAAGGAAGAAAGCTGAGGCTTTCTACTCCTGTCACCATGTTATAGGCTCAGAAACCCACAGGGGCAGTTCTACCTAGTCTTACAGGGTCACTGTGGGTCACTGGCAATAAGTTTTCCATCCCTCTCTGTTGAGATGCTGTGTGGACATACCACTCGGGTTCAGCTGGATTCCAATTAAACCGTTACAACCAAACCTGGAGGAATGGCTAAGCAGGCATTTCAACACAGAATCATCATAATACTTAGGGAGCTAGCTATATTTATGTAATGTCTCTGTACATCAGGCTTGACCCTCATCTTCCATTTTTGTGCTAGTTTTCCTTTTGGCCTAATCCTCTCCTCCCCCTTCTCTTACCAGGTTGCTTGTACACATTTAGATGTGGATTTAGTCTGCATAACTGTGAAAGAGAAACTACCATTTTACTTCAAAAGACCCCCTATTAATGTGGTAAGTGTTCCACTTCTAATTCTCTATCTGAATCGATAGGCACCTGTACAAACAAACTGGAAAGGGGGCGGCAGAAACCAGTGTGCACACAGCGAACAACAAAGGCTGAGTAATCAGAGGCAGTTTTAGAACAGGGGGTATTGTTCTTCTAAAGCCGTCTAAAAGGAGAATGAAAGCTTAAACTAAAAACAAAAACAAAACCTTTAGTAAGTTTTCCAGCTACCTAGAAAGGCCCAGAGTCCTGGTGACATAGTGTGTTACACATTGGGCTGCCAACTGTAAGGTCAGCAGTTCAAAACCTCCAGCTGCTTCTCATGAGAAAGAGAACCTGTTCTATTCCTGGGAAGTTTTACAGCCTCAGAGACCCACGGACACAGTTCTGCTGACTTAGAGAGTCGCCATGAGTTGGAATTGACTGGCTGACAGTGAGTGAGTGAGTACCTAAAATGTCTGGGGGGTGTCTGCAACCAGACCCTTGAAGCTCGAGCATGGAGGAGACAGAGCAGTGAAAGGAGGAGGAGACAGAGCGCAGAGGTTCCTGGGATAGCAGTGAGCTGAGCAGGACCCTTGCGGCCCGCTAAGGCACACACAAACCCAGGGCTAGTCCTATAGCCTAAGAGGCTAGCCACGGATGCCGGGAGCTCTTTGTCCCTCCATCTGACCCTTGTTACCCTTTCACGTAATTTTTCTCCTTCACTTTCCAACTGTCATGCCGTCTCAACAGACTCCTTGCCTAAGGTGACCAGAGGGCCCACTTTTGGCGGGACAGTCCTAATTTTTAACATTTTGTCCCACATCCCACAGCGTTTTTTAAAAGTTCTGATTTTTGGAAAGAATGCACGACAAGCTAGGGTATACAGTTTTCGGCTGCCATGTGGCTATTTCGCCAGGATATGAGTTTTATCAATAGTGTCCCGCTTTACGAATGTTAAAATCTGGTCACCTTATCCTTGCCCTCCCATTGCCACCACGAAGGTGCTGAAATTTCCCATCAGTAACTATTTTGGTACCTGTGATGTCAGCCCAGCTGTTCCTTTACATCACCGGCCTGGTCCTCACAAGAGCTGCCATGTGAGTTTGAAGAGTGGCTTCCACAGCTTCAGGCTCCCATTTTCAAAGGCTGCTCTGAATGTAGAAAAGGACTGCTCACAGGCACAGACCAAATAGATCTAATCCTGTCAGAATTTAAAATACTCATTTTTTTCAAAGCTGGTAATTCCTACTGTATTAGTCTGGGGTACTATAGAGAAACAAATCCATAGCAACTCATGTATATGAGAGAGTTTTATATAAAGGTTAAGTACACATCAAGAAAACATCCCAACCCAGTGCTGCTGCCCAAGCCCGCAAGTCCAACATTAATCCATATGTCCAATACTAATCCACAAAGTCCTCCATCTCACAAAACACACACTATGACGCCGACTGCAGGAGGAAAGCCGAGTCAGTGAATGTGTAAGCATCTCAGCGCTGGCAGGGGTCTCCACCTGGGTGCTCCAGCACCCAGGGCTGCATCGGGGTAGTAGGTCCATGTGGTTTCTCCTTGGGGATGTCTTTCAGGAAATGAGCCTTGCCAGCTGAAGCAGGCAACTGGCTAAGGCAGCTGCACCCTGGTCTGACCATCAGAAAGCAAGAGACCAGAGAACTAGAAAAGCGAGGCTCACTGAGCCATTTATCCCTCCACCCTTCAATTAACCCCACATATGTTTATCGGCCAGGTTGGCACAATAAACTAACTCACCAACCTTTTTGTCTCTAGGACCGTAGCTTTCACAATTTTTGTTTCTCCATTTTTGCTGCTAGGACATTTATTTGATGTTGCAAAGTGGGGGAAACCATATGAGGGGAGAATATGGTGTGGGAAAATGGAAGGTAGAAAAATTAAGTGGACTTACTCCCTACCTCTAAAAGTAGGCTCCAAAAACTATGGCTTCAAAAGTATGACAGTCTTCAAAATCATATAATTAAAGGAAAAACAACTACTAACTAAGCACATAACCATATTGGTTATAGTCAAATTGTTGTTTTCCTACATTTTTGCCAATACTTGTAAACAAACTAGCCAATAATCCCAAGTCATCATGTTTCCGAGCGTGTGATCTGTGTTGTTCAACAGCACAGATGCTGGAAAACTGTGGGTAGCAAGGGGAAATCAAAGCTGAATCCCACTGCCATTGAGTTGATTCTAACTCAGAGCCTAACAGCCCACCACACCTGTCTATACAGGATGTCCAAGACTAAATCTTCACAAAAGCAAGCACCTTTCTCCCACATGGAGCAGCTGGGGGAGTTGGAATGCCAGCCTTGCCATTCGCAGCTGCACACCTCACCAGGGTTCCGGTCACAAGATTCAGACAGTTCCAATGCCCTGTGAACTTGGAACTCTGATGTGCCCCAGGTACCAGAGCTAAAAGCCATAAACCCTGCGTTCCAAGGTGTGACGGTCTTGTTAATCGAGTGTTGGTCCTTTCCTGAGGTAGCACTCTGTCTCTGGCAGTTGGCCTAAGCTTATAATCAGCCTCCCACTGCTTCGTCAGGTTTTATTTCAATGATGGCCCCTGAAGTTAGGCCTTGGGGCTGCTCTGCAAATTGCTGTGAAACGTAGTAACGTTCGTTACCTTTCTCTTCTTCACCGTCATGAACTGGGAAGGCCATATTCTAGACAGCTCTGCCCTAGGAAACCCACATAGGATCCTGGGCTCTTGGTTAGGAGGAGATAGTGGCATGTGATGGATCGTTAGGACAGGTCCATTGAATGGACAGCAGTGTCCCTCAGACCCCAGGAATGGTCAGGTGCCCATGATGATGTTCACATCAGACTGCAGGCTTCCGGAGAGAACTAGCTGTCCTGGTCTTTGTTTTGTTTTGTTTTCAAGATATTGTAGTTGTGTGCCGTTGAGTTGGTTCTAACGCATAGCAAACCTATAGGACAGAGTAGACCGGCCCAGTGGGGTTTCTTAGGCCAAAATTCTTACACCAGCAATCACTGGGTTTTTTCTCCCATGGAGTGACTATTGGATTCAAACTGCTGACCTCAGTCAGCAGCTGGGTGCTTAAACATTGCAGCACCACAACTCTAATGCCTGATGAGTTATCCCCAAAATTTGTGTTTTGAATGATATCATCTGTCTCCGCGTATCGGCACGGTTTGGGGAACCTGATCTAGTTCTAAAGGAGCCCTGGTGGTGTGGTGGCTTATACATTGGACAGCTAACTGCAAAGTCACCAGTTCGAAACCACCAGCTTACTGTGAGTCAGGATTGACTCAGTGACCGTGAGTCCGAGTCTTTCATTGAATTCTGCTTGCTGGCCATGGTTGCTGGCTGCCAGCATTTGGAAGGAGCCACGTGCGGTGGGGGAAGCGGGGCACTTGGGCAGCCTGAGCAGGGGCGTGGCACTGAGACAGTGCCCCTCCCCGTTTCCCTCGGCCCCCACCTCATTCCATCTGTAAGTTCAGGAAGACTGCTGTTATTTGATGGATATTTTTGGCTTACTTCCCTCATTTCTTAATTTAAAAATTCGGAAAAGTAAAATTTGACAAGTGAGAAGGATATGCAGTATTTAGCACAGTGTCTGCTTTTTTTTTAATCCTGGTGTGAACATTTTACATATGTTAATAAAAACCAGATGATGCAGCAGGGGGGAAGCTGAACAGGAGTATTTTTAGTCTGCAGCGTGAACTGGTCGGGAAGCAGGAAAATCCCCATTCATTTACTCTCCTCGAAGAGCGCATGTTGGAGCTGGACTGTGAGAAGGTTGTTCAGGGTAGAGGGTGGTTGTGTGGAAGAGTGCGAGTGTTGTTAGTAGCAGTGTGTGCTGACACTAAAGTGGCAAACTATTCGCTGAGCTCAAACACAGCAGAACCCTGGTTGTGCATTGGGTGAGTGCTGAGCTATGAACCAAAGGGTCGACGATTTAAACCTACTACCCCTTCTGTGGGAGAAAAACATGCTTCTGTCATGTAGGGATTATGGGTAATCAGTAATTCAGGCTCAACTGTTGGGCCTCACATGCTCCCTTGCTTGACCTTGAGGGTAAGCCTGTCTTGGCCACAGGATGCTGTCGGTGTGGGGTCTCCCGCTGCTGACTTGGACAACCCTGTGAGGCAGAGTAGAATGGTTGTGTTTACTGAACCGACCGCTTCGTGGTTTTCCTGAGGAGCTGCTGGTGGGCCGGACCTGCCAAGCTCTCATTTCCCAGCCAGTGCAGCCCTGGGACTCCTTTGGCGTTGCTAGGCTTCCGTGAGAAAGCCGCACCGATCTTCCTCACTTGCATAGGGCTTCCCCCTTTTCTTGGGCTGTGATGAAAAGCAGGGATGTTAAGGTAAGTAGTTAATTACACTTTCGTCAACAGGCCAGAAGCCAGATGAGGATTAGAGGCTTAAAAAGTTAGGAGCCAAAGCCTAGCTCCTCACTCTGCTAGGATAATTTACAGTCTTGTTCCTTTTGGCATCTTCACCTCTGGCAGTGGGCGCCGTAATTATAATTACACGTTCCCCTCTCAGAGCTCCTTCATCACTCTTCTGGGACCTAGGTACTTATCTAGGAATCACAGTTCTATCATGGGCTGAATGTGTTTCTAAACACTTGGGTGCCAGCTCCTCCTCTCGGATAATCAAATGACTACTAATTATGTATCGCTTTATAGTTTAGCACTTTCACACCTGCTGTAGCTCAGCAGCTTTGGGGTAAGGCACATGCTAATTATCCGCATTATGCAGGTGAGGGAATTGTGCTTCAGGTAGTTTGCGGTTCACACAGTTACATGTCCTGGTATTTAAAATTCAAGCTGTCTGGCAGCAAATCCACTGCCACTTCCCACACGGGGAAGCGCTGTACTCAAAGTTGCTTTACAGCAGACCTCTTTGTTAAACACAGAATCATCTTCTATCTTAAAATGCAAGCTTTACGAGCTCAGCTTTTAGGAAATTCTCTGAAAGCAGAATGTACCTTATTACCTTCCTTTGATTGTTCCCAAGAAAGAAAAAATGCATTCTTCTG